TGTAGATCATTAGGAAGACACGTTTGGATCCAGTGAACTCTCTATGTGCTGGTACTTGAATAAAAGCTATTCCTAAAAGGGTTCTGGAAAAAATAAAAATAAAGCCCCCACACAATTCCTCTCCCTTTATAAAATCACAAAATCTGCCCATGGTGTACCTTTATCTTCAGTTTCGTGTTTCAGTTTGTCCTATGGTCTCCTCCTTTATCTGTCACTAGGATTAAAAAGTACTTTTGGGGCGCCTGGGTGGCTCAGTCAGCTGAGCTTCTGACTTTGGCTCAGGTCATGATCTTGTGGTTCGTGAGTTCGAGCCCCACGTGAGGCTCTGTGCTGACAGCTCAGAGCCTGGAGCCTGCTTCGGATTCTGTGTCTCCCTCTCTGTTCCTCCCCCACTCGTGATCTCTCTCTGTCTCTCTTTCAAAAGTAAACATTAAAGAAAAAAGAAAAAAAAAAAGTACATTTGCTCATTTCCAGGTAGAACTGATTTGTCTTGGGCCCTGATGCTTGGTAGCTCCCAAGAGCGGAAGACATTATTTTCCACGGTCCAAAGGGGCTGAGCTGAGGTAATGAGCAAATGGCAGACACTGAACAAAACGACAAATATGAGCGAAGTATCATGAACACGTCTGAGATGCTTTTATGCTATAGTGGGAAAGCTTCCCCTAAGGGAAGTGGTAGGACTCTAGCACTTGGGGTAAAACACAAATGTAAAAAGCACTAAAAACTGTATTCGTCCTGGAAAACACCTGGGAGTACAGTAGCATGTGACCAAAGGGACTTCATCTCTAATTTTCATGATTTTTACAAAATTACATTGTACTGACACAAAGTATCGTAGAGTTGAAGAAAAAAAAAGGGAGTAGAGTTCCCTTGGAAATGGTAAAAACGTTGATATCGTGTCCTTGTAACTCACGGAGATATTTGTGTGACAGGGATAGGACTCAGGGGAAGCAAGGTTCCTGATCATTTTCTTGTTTGACTTGGGGCAGGCCATTTAACCCTGAAAATTTTGTTCTCCCATCACAAAATGGGAGGGATATTTCTTACAATATATGACTATTGTTATGGACTGAACATCCCCAAAGTAATGGTATTACAGTGGGCTCTGGAACAACAGAGTGGTTTGGGGGTACCAACCCCCCCAGGTCTAAATTTCATGTATAACTTTTGGGGACATCTGGGGGGCTAAGTCGGTTAAGCATCCAACTTCAGCTTGGGTCACGATCTTGTGGTTTGTGAGTTCCAGCCCCACATAGGGCTTCTCTGCTGTCAGCGTGGAGCCCGCTTGAGACCCTCTGCCCTCCCTTCTCTTTGCACCCCCCCTCAAAAATAAATAAACATAAAAAAATTTTAATTTCATGTATAACTTTTGACACCTCAAAAACTGGACTATTAATAGGCTACCCAATCAGAAGCCTTCCTGATAATATAAGTGTTGATAAATATATATTTTGCGTGTTATGTGTATCATAAACTGTATTCTTACAATAAAGTGTCTAGAGAAAAGAGGTTACTAAGAAAATGATAAGAGGGTGCCTGGGTGGCTCAGTTGGTTAAGCATCCGACTCTTGATTTTGGCTCAGGTCATGATCTCGCAGTTCATGGGATCCAGCCCTGGGTCTGGCTCTGCACTGACAGTGTGGAGCCTGCTTGAGATTCTCTCCCTCCCTCTCCCTCTCTCTCTCTCTCTCTCTCTCTCTCTCACCCTCCCTCTTTCTCTCACCCTCCCTCTCTCCCTCTGCCCCTCTCCCCCCACTTGTGTACTCTCTCTCTCAAAATAAGTAAACATTAAAAACCAAAAAAAAAAGAAGGGGTGCCTCAGTGGTTCAATTGGTTAAGTATCTGACTTCGGCTCAGGTCATGACCTTGCTGTTTGTGAGTTCAAGCCCCAAATTGGGCTCTGTGCTCACAGTTCAGAGCTTCAGAGCCTGGAGCCTGCTTGGGATTCTGTGTCTCCTTCTCTCTCTGCTCCTCCTCTGCTCACACTCTGTCTCTCTTTTTCTCAAAATAAATAAACACTAGGGGTGCCTGGCTGGCTCAGTCAGTTAAGCGTCCGACTTCGGCTCAGGTCGTGGTCTCACAGTTTGTGGGTTCGAGCCCCGCATCAGGCTCTGTGCTGACAGCTCAGAGCCTGGAGCCTGTTTCCGATTCTGTGTCTCCCTCTCTCTCTCTCTCTGCCCTTCCCCCACTTGTACTCTGTCTCAAAATAAATAAACATTAGAAACAATTTTTTTTAAAAAGAAAGCAACTAGACACATAAGGCCACATAATGTAGGATTCCACTGATGTGTCCAGAACAGGAAAATCCAGAGACAAAAGGCAGGTTACTGGGTTGCCCCCAGGGAGGAGGGGAGAGTGGAAAGTGACCTGCTCATAGGTATGTGGTCTCTTTTTGGGGTGATGAAATTGTTCTGGAATTAGTGATGGTCGTACAACCGTGAATACACTGACCTCTGCATACTTTAAATGAGTGAATTGTATGGTGTGTGAATTATATCACAATAAGGATGTTGAAAATAAGGAGTGAGAAATGAATATATTAACATCAGTGTCACCAGGAGTCCAAATTCTGGCTTACCCGGAATTCCTTTCCTGGAGAGCAGATAATTTGCAAAGCCAGTAGTGGTCTCATTTTACTCACAAATTCCTTGCATATCTAGCTGTCGGCTTACTATTCTAAGCAAGTACCAAAGGGGGAAAAATTGAAATTCTTCTAATTTTAGAATACACTCTTTAAGATTGTGGTTTAGTAAACCATCCAACAAAGTATATTCTTCGGGATGTGGCAGAATCTAGAATTTTATGATACTGCTACACTGAATGCTCAGTTTAGATTTCTACATCACAAAATATTTGTATACTTCAGAGAACAGATCGGCAATTGACAGAGTGGGGTAGGGGTGAGCGACATGGGTCAGGCGGTCAAAAGGTACAAACTCCCAGTTGTAAGTCCTGGGGATTTAACGTACAGCATGGGAGTACAGTTAACGATACTGTCTTATAGATTTGCCATACATATGTATAAAATACTGCATTATATATTGTATTGAGAATTGCCGGGGTGCCTGGATGGCTCAGTTGGTTAAGTGTCAGGCTCACATTTGGTAGGATCAAGCCCTGCATCGGGCTCTGTGCTGACAGTGCACAGCCTGCTTGGGATTCTCTGTCTCCCTCTTTCTCTGCCCCTCCCCTCCTCTCTCAAAATAAATAAATAAAATAAACATTGAAAAAGAAAATTGCTAAGACAATAATTCTTTAAAAAAATTTTTTTTAATGTTTATTTATTTTTGAGAGAGAGAGAGACAGACAGACAGAATGTGAGCAGGGGAGGGGCAGAGAGAAAGGGAGACACAGAATCTTTAGCAAGCTCCAGGCTCTGAGCTGTCAGTACAGAGCCCGACGCGGGGCTCGAACTCATGAACCGTGAGATCACGACCCGAGACGAAGTTGGACACTTAACCGACTGAGCCGCTCAGGTGCCCCAACGAAGACAATAATTCTTAAAAGTTCTCATCACAAGAAAAATACTGTAACTATATGTGTGGTGACAGATGTTAACTATCTTGGTAATTATTTTGCAAAATATACATATATCAAATCATTATATTGTAACCCTCTTGCACTGTTCGCAGGAATGCTACCTGGAGCAGGCGGTGTGGAAAAAAGAATGGGGGGGTTCCTCAAAAAGTTAAAAACAGAACTAGCCTCTGATCCAGCAATTGCACTACTGGGTATTTACGCAAAGAATACAAAAATATTAACTCAAAGGGAAACGTGAAGTTCATAGCAGCATTATAGACAATGGTCAAATTATGGAAATAGCCCGTGTCCATGGAATGATGAATGGATAAAGAAGAGGAACGGAATGGAATATTACTCAGCCATGAAAAAGAATGGAATCTTGCCATTTGTAAGGACATGGATGGAGGTATAGAGTATTATGTTAAATGAAATAAGTGGGTTAGAGAAAGACAAATACTGTATGATTTCAAGCATATTTGGAATTTAAGAAACAAAACAAATGAGCAAAGAGAAGGAAAAAAAAAAAAGAGAGAGACAGAAAGGCAAACCAAGAAGCAGACTCTTAACTGGAGAACAAACTGATAGTTACCAGAGGGCAGGTGGGTGGAGGGTAGGTGAAATAGGTGATGGGAATCAAGGAATGTACTTTGTATCATGAGCCCTGGGTGTTATATGCAAGTGCTGAATCACTCGATTGTGCACCTGAAACTAATATTACACTGTATGTGAACTAACTGGAATCCTTTTTTTTTTTTTTTTTTTTTTTTTTTTGCGAGAGAAAGAGAATGAGCTGGGGAGAAGGGCAGGGGGGGAGAGGGAATCCTAAGCAGGATCCACGCTCGGCATGGAGGCTGACATGGGGCTCGATCCCACAACCTTGGGATCATGACCTGAGCCGCAATCAAGTCCGATGCTCAACCAACCGAGCCACCCAGGCGCTCCTGAACTAACCGTAACTTAAATAAAAACAGCCCCCCAACCCACAAAACCTTATGTTGTACATCTAAAACTAATAGGATTTTAATAATTGCCTATCTCGATTTAAAAATGGTATTCTTGGGGCGCCTGGGTGGCGCAGTCGGTTCAGCGTCCGACTTCAGCCAGGTCACGATCTCGCGGTCCGTGAGTTCCAGCCCCGCGTCAGGCTCTGGGCTGATGGCTCAGAGCCTGGAGCCTGTTTCCGATTCTGTGTCTCCCTCTCTCTATACCCCTCCCCCGTTCATGCTCTGTCTCTCTCTGTCCCAAAAATAAACGTTGAAAAAAAAATAAAAAATGGTATTCTTGTGCAAGTAAGAATGATTTCTTTGACAGCAAAAGCTTTTCTCATGTCTGTGCAAGCACTTTGAAATTTTCTGGGTCTATCATTTATACTCTCAAATTTTACCGTCACTTTGGAACATGCTAAAAAAAAAAACCCCAAAAACAAACCAAAGCAGAAACTCTCTAAAAGGCAAAAGCCAAATAAATAGAAGTTGTACTTTAGAGTTTCCTTCCAGATGGGCTTTCTCGGCGGAGGTAGAAGAGGGTCCAAAGGTTTTTTTCAGAACGTGAGCGCTCAATACGTTACAGAACCGGCCCCAGCAGGGAGACGTTTTCCGTTGTCCTTTACGTGGTCTGCATCGCCGAGCCGCGAAACAGCAATCGCCTGGGAACAACGGCAGCGCGGCGGGGTCGCGGCGCAGGCCCCCGTCCCCTCCACGCCCAGCTTCCCGCCAGCCCGGCCCTCCCGGGAGCCTACCTGGACCCGCCCGCCGCGCCGGCCACCCCGGCGCCGTCGCCATGGCACCGCCCCGCCCCGCCCCCCGCGCGCCGCCAGCCCTTAGCCCCCACCTTAGCCCCCACTCGCCCCTCCCCCTCCGGGACTGCTGCGGGGGGAGGGGGTGGGGCGGGAGCGGGAGGAGACGCCAGCGAGAGGAAATCGGCGGCGCGACGCCCGCGGCCCATTGGCTGCCTCGTCCTGGGGCCAGAAGCCCCGCCTCCCTGGCGGGGATCACGTGATCCCTTTCAAAGATGGCCGCCCTGTTGTTTTGATGAATAATACTTGGTGGGGCGAGGGGGTAAGAGTAGGGGTGGAGGGGTAGGAGGATTTACTCTTCCGTCCAGAGCATCGCGAGTCCCGTCCTCCCCCTCCCCCCTGCCCGGGCTCCGGCGTGGAGGCGGGGCGTGGCCGGCCTGCTTTGGGAGGGGAGGGGCTTCCCTCTTCAGTGCTGGGCTCTGCCTCGGCGGCTCTGGGGTCGCCTTACCTCGGGGCATCCGTTCTGCAGTCCAACAGTTCCCGCCAGGGGCAAAGGGTAGGAAGGAGAGCAGGATCTGCTGGAGGAAGCACACCTGCCGTGCCACCACCGCGAAGACACAGCAGGCTCAGGGCACGAGACGAGCTGGAGACCCGAGTCCCTGGTCCGGGTAACCTGGGAAGCAGAGGGCAATAGTGGCGCCTTAAGATAACCCTGTAGCAGCAGCAGTGGCGGCCAAAGGAGGCTCCTCGGGGCACAAGCGGCTGTAGGAGTCTCTGGGGCGATTGGAGTGACCGACGCCAGGGCGGTTCAGTGCCTCTCGTGTTCTTATTTTTTAACCTCTGACTATGCAATTCTGAAACCTCCCCCATTCGGGGGACCAGACAGCCCGATAGACACCTTCCACCCTCCTCCCGCCCTGGTCACAAGAACAGAAGGATCTCTCCCTAACGCCTTTCACCATTAAGAGAAAAGCGATGGAGGAGCTGAGCGCTGATGAGGTGAGGAGGTTGGGGGACACCTTGGGAGATTAGTTGGCAACTCTTTGGCGCTTTGGACAAGGAAGGTATTGCGCCAGTGGTGCCTGGCCTTTGGGCTTGGGGAAGGAATGGAGATGACATTTTCCAAGAATAAAACGGGTCCCTGAGTGGGTCTCTGGTTGTGTTCTGTATTATCTTGCTCTCTTTCTTCATTCTGAACTCCATTTGCTTCTTTTCGAGGCTTTTAGGGTCTGAAGAAGAGGAGAGCACATCGAGGCGTTTATTCTTTTCCTCGGGGTGTTTAGGCAAGAAAGGCTACATTTACATCCAGTTAATGTGTGCGTGCACGCGCGCCTCACTGCAGAGATTTAAAAAAATAATTTTGGGTGGAATTAGAATGTCTGGGTGTGTGTTTTTAAAGGCAGTATTTGAAATCCCAGGTATGTGTGGCTGTTGCATTGCATAAGTTGATTAAACAGACGTCTGTGTTTGGGGGTGGCCTACAGACAGATTCTTTGGTATTTAACAAAATATACATCTAAAAAGCTCAGTGAATTCCAGTTAAATTCTGCAATTTAACAGGTACTAGTGACCTCTGGCACACTTCTCTTTCATTCTGCCTTTCTCCAGTTTTTGGCCCTTTCTAACTTGTGTTCTGTGCAGGAAGCAAATGGAAGGAAATGACTTTTAAACTCCCATTATCATTTCTGGAAGGAGTCTTACAGATGCCTTTCTTGATGTTTTAGAGATCATTTCATAAGGTTGTCCTAAAAACGGTGGCAATTAGGGTACCAGGAATTTTCTGCGATCCTACTGACTTCGATCCCTTCCTTTTTACAAATTGGGAGCTTCCCCTTCAGGATCCCTGCTGGCCTCCCTCTCTTCAGCATACCTCCTTGTTTCTTTCACTAGTTCATATAACACTTTCCTACAGTGAAAGTAGCTATCCGTCAGGTTGGCTGTGCTATACAACATACATGCTTTAGTTTCAGCTAGCGTAGTCAATATATTTAGTTAGGGACTACAGTTCTCCAGGGATGCAGCATGCAAGAGGTGAGTTCAAGTGTCAGCTAGGAACGAAAACAAATAATTTTGTGGGTCATGCTCCTTGGCTGTTTGGAAAGTCAGGATGGCTCATTCTGTGTTACTGACTCTATTTTCTCAAATACGTCAGGAATGTAATCGTAACTAAAATTAGAAGAATATTGAACAGTTTCCTTCCTTGGGGTGGTAACTCTCAAGAGATCCCTTAGAGGCACTCTGGTTTAGGTAATTTTTACCACCCCTCCCGTGTCCCCTTTCTTTAACATCAGTGTTAATGGGTAATGTCTCTTAAGGCAAAAAGTTTGTGTTTTTAGTAGTCCTTTGCTTCCCGAAATTATTTTTTTCGTGACGTTCTCTAAATCGTCATACTGGAGATTTCACCAAGAAATTGTTTTCAAACAAATGAAGCACCATATAATCTGAACGGTGGTACTTCACTTTACCCAGTTCTTGAGGAAGTTGTAACTTTTTTGCGACCACAGAGGAACAAATGTAATCATTGTGGGAGGAGATCAGAAAAGCATTTTTCAGGTTCAAAAGAATATTGAAATAAGTGTGAAAACTTAAATTTACTAATATTAAATCAACATAAAGTTATATTCGACAGTTAGGTGGCCTGAACGCAGAGGAACCGTTCGGTAGCTGTTAATATACTCTCAGTGGAAGCTAGAACAAAGTTTTTTGGGGAAAAAAAATCTTAAGTTTCTTTTTTGTTGTTGTTGTTAATCCATTTCCTTAATTCTGGGATTAAGTGAACAATGTCTCAAGACATTTCCAGAATTTTTGCCTTGTATTGTTATTCTCTTGGTGGAAACTCTTGTCACAGATATGATAGGGGACCTTCATTTGAATGTTAGAGAGTGTAGAAAGTAATACATTCATATTGCTGAAAATTCAAACATACATCTCAGGGTGAAAACAGGTAAGACAGTGATCTTTCAGGCTAAATTAGGAAATCAGGTAAGGCAGAGTTTTATCTCTTAACAAAATGGAAATGTGTGAGAATACGGTCTCTGGAAAATAGAGGTTGATATAACCAGCCTGGAAGCTTCAGATTTTACATTATGTGTACTTTCTGGTCCCTCTCATAGATCAGCTAGAGTTCTTACCCTTTTCTTCTCTTGTGCTAAGTACAGCCTGTCTTTAACTTCCTTGCTGTTTATTGTTTATGTAGCACATTACAGTGAGTTCACTGCTTTATGGAGTAGATCCATGACTAAGTTCATTCCCTTCAGGAACCTACATTCCAAGGCTTCACTATTTACATTACATTCCGTATGTACACTACTCAGACTTGTTTTCCATATGCCAAGATGATGCTATGAGTAGGGCAGGGCAGGTATTGTAAACTGTGTTCAACTATAGTGATGAAGTTGCGTTGAGATGATTTGCTTTTTCCTTTTCTTTCATTCTTTTTTTTGGGGGGGGGTTGCTAAATCTTCTTTATGACCTAGTTCATCTTCAAGATGGCTGGCTGGGATAGTTAGGGTGTGGTCAAGGTTTTGGAAGAGGGGTAAGTAAGTCTTCCTTCCGAAATGCAGAATATGTGACCGTGCACTTTTTAGCAGTGTTCTTTGGGTGGAAAGGGACCGGCGTTTATTAACAGCCTTAGAAGCCTGCTCAGTGCCAGGCACTTGACAGACACTGTCTCATTAAATAAAACAGTGTGACCAAGGGGTGCTCGGGTGGCTCAGTCCCTTAAGTGTCCCACTCTTGATCTCGGCTCAGGTCATGATCTCGTGGTTCGTGAGTTCAGACCCCCGTTCTGTCAGTGCAGAGCCTGCTTGGGATTCTGTCTCTGTCTCTCTCTCCCTGGCTCTCTTTCTCAAAAAAACAAAAACAAAACAAAGCCGTGCCATCAAGCAGTCCTTACCTTTTCCTTATTTTACAGGTGAGGCAGCTGAGATTTAGGTTAACTGACTTGTCCGTAGTGACCTGGCTTCGAAGGTGACAGGGTTGGAATTCGGACCCGAGGTGCCCGATCTGAAAGCTCTTTCTGCTACATTGTATTGCCTAACAACAGGCAATAAAGTCACTGCAGCTTCCATACACGTATCCTACTAACATGCTTGATCTACGTAGTTTTTCTGTAGAAGTGTTGTTTTTCATGAATGCATTCATGAGGTGATCGAGTTGATAGTCTTTTTGGTACTGACTCTTTTTATCACGCACCTCCAAAATGGTTCACTCAGGAAACATTTTTTTTTTTTTTTTTTTTTTAAGATGCCGTGTATTCCCAGAGATGCATTAGGTATGTTAGGAAAGAAAACAAGACAGTCGTTTTTCTGGAAGAAATTATGATTTAACTGGGGGATGGGGATGGAGGTAGAGATAAGTAGGAATCCAGCAGTTACAGTGCAGGGCGCTAAGTACTGGTGTGGAGGGATGCACAAGGCATCAAGAAAAACAAGAAGGGACCCCTGCTAGGGCAGTGTAGTAGTGAAGACTTTCAGGATAAGGTGATGCTGAAGGCTGAGCAGTGGTTGCCAGGCAATGGCAGGGAGACTGGGGAGCCCAGGAAAAAAGTGAGCAGTAGTGGGACTGGGGACAGGAGTTTGCTGGGGGGGGGGGGGGGCGGCGGGGGGGGGCGCGTGGTTGCAGGTGGCCCAGCACCAGATCTTGGAGGGTTTTCAGAAGTACCTAGGAGTTTGAACTTCCGCAGTAAGACTGCAAGAAGCCTTTGAGAAATGGTAAGAGGTTAGAAGGATACCTGGCAAGGGGTGTAAAAGTGGGTTGGAAGAAGGTGGCTGCAGGCCGGGGGCCAGACGAGGAGGCTGGTGTCGCTGTCTAGCAGCGAGGAGTGGGAGTCGAAGGGAGGCATTGGCAGTGGGAGTGGAGGAGGGCAGACCCCAGAAATGCTGAGGATCTAAGTTAACGCACTTGGAGTTGCAGTGATTGGATTGATAGAAAGGAGGCGGGGTGGGGGAGGAGAGAAGAAGTCGATTCCTTGGTTTCTGGCTTGAGAGAAGGATGGATGGGGGGGTG